TGCAGCAAAAGGTGGTTCTACAAAGTATTGACTCAGGGGGCTGAATATTTACGCACACCCCACTTTTCAGTTATTTATTTGTAAAAAATGTTTGGAATCATGTATGATTTTCGTTCCACTTCTCACGTGTACACCACTTTGTTTTGGTCTTTCACGTGGAATTCCAATAAAATTGATTCATGTTTGTGGCTGTAATGTGACAAAATGTGGAAAAGTTCAAGGGGGCCTTTTGCAAGTCACTGTATACCAACAAGACAGTGTACATCACTGTCACAACAGCGTTTGTTTTCATTGAAAGGCTTTATGGTTTTTCCTATAATACCTGGTGGGCCAGTCTCTAGTCAAAATGGCCAGGCTGATTTTTTTTTGTCCCAGTCTAGCCCTGGTTACCAGTCTACTTATGATCATTAGCTAGACTATTTCAGAAGATTGTTGGAATCTACATCCCATAAACCACCTTTCTCTTAATTTCAACAAAAGCAATCCAGATCCACATGTAAATTATACCTTTGCAAATGCAGGTAATAGTGTTTCCTTTTATCTCGCTAATAAAACAGATGAACAGTCACAGTTCTAGCTATCATGGAGAAATTAGTACATAAGGCAAAATACAGCTGCTTGTCATTTCAGATACAAGGACAAACTAAAGTGGACAGCATGGGCAATTTTAAGAAATTTCACAGCAGTCAATTTAATCACTCTATATGCATTTTCCTCAAATGCCAATCTTTTGAAGGCATGAGGATTTTTAAATATATTTAAAAATATAGTTTCAGTTAAATATACTTAACTTAGAATCAGAAATGTCAGGCTTATGGTGCTTGCAAGAGAAGCCAATTGGTCATGAAATCAGTGGGCTATCTAGCATTTATTAGGACTAAAGTCTCAACAGATAGATTCCACCTTACACTTCTATCACTGCAGGTAATAAAAATCTAATAAAATAATTCTATACATGTGTCTTTATCATTTCAAGGGTGTTACTTACCGATGTAGTTCTTTGACATAGTCACTTCTTTGATTTCTATGTGAACAGAACCTTTTGGGATTTGAACCACCTCCATGTAGCCTGGAAGACAAGAACTAATATCGTTGAGATAGTGTTCCTCCCACTGAAACAACCGCAGTTCTCATTCCTATCTGACATGTTTTAAAACACAGAGAACACACAGAGTTACATATCATACAAGGTAGGAGTACATCTATAGAATAAATTCCAAATCATCCAAAATGGATAAAGCAATCTTCCAGTAGTATGAAACATTCTCCTTTTTTTTTTTTTAAACACTTACACACACATGCATGCGCAGACACACACACACACACAGTATTTTTAGATGGTTTACTAGCCATACCATAGAAGGAGAAATATGTTTTCTCTGTCTCTTTTGCTCACTATAGACTACCTCAGACCACAACCAGCACCAAGTCCCTTTCTCTGCTAGTGACTCCTTCACTACATTCCTTCATTCCTTCAGTGATTAATGGGAAAAGTATTGCATTTAGATGTGTCATCATAATTTTAAGTGGCTCAAAACATTTGCCATGTTAAAAAACAATTAAAAAAAAAAAATCACATGTTGGTGAAAGATCATTTTTGTTACGTGAAGGATGTTTTGGCATTTGGACAGACATTTCTGCATATTCTACATATATAAACTGCGTTTTGCCCCCTTTCAGTAACTTACTGTAAAATCAAGTGAGCCAGAAGTGATCTGCTGGTTAAGGTAAAAGTTTGTAGCTACACAATCATCCAATGAATATTCCATATTCTTGTTTTGTTGGCTGATATGTTGAAACAATAGCTAACAATAGCTAATTTTGATTAAATATGACCAGATTTAAATAAATGAATAAAAATTAAACAACTTTAAGAGTAAAAGCTGAATTCTGTGGAACCTAGTTTTGTGGAACCTCGCTGTTTGTCCAAAATTGCTCCTTGACAAATCGTAATTGAGCCACCAAAACTGGCACACGGGTACATTTATGATGACATAATGATCCCAATGACCATTTGTCTCATTTTCTTGTGTATAACACCTTGTAAAAGAATGCTATAATTTTAATTTCACAACATCTAAAATACCACTTACCCATTTTTGATATCAACAAATTGTGATGTTCACAGTATCAATATTATAACACACCATTTGACTCATTAAGGTTTGAAGTTTATTGCTCTTAGAGACCTAGAGGTTCAACAAAAATAACTGTGTAAATGTATCTGAGGCTAATTAATTTTAAGCCAAGTGACTTAACCAGCCTACAAATGCATCTTTTCAGTCATTGTATGCATTTTTGTCAAGAACATGTTATTGAAATAATTAATACATATAAATATGCAACCATAATGAAAGTTAAATTATAAATTAATCATTTACTTTATGGGTGTATATTCGATTGAACTTAATCTTGCATACTACTTTTTCATCACACCTATTACACTTAATGGGGGTTGATAACGTCTAGTTATGAATCTAGTAGACAATGCACAGTTGGCATGGACCTTTAATCGTACCAAGATACGACTGCATTTTGCTGTATAGAAACATACAGTTACTCCCATATTGTGTGTTTACTTATTGTTGTGTTACATGCAGTAACATCTGGCTGTACAGTCACATTAACCACCATTTTTTTTTTAAATTTATTTTATTTTTTATTTTTTTACTTTTCTCAGTGTCATTAATTTTAACAGCTTAAACAGACTAAAGAACACTTTCTGGAATCAGATATGTTTTACCTCCTCTGGGTAGAGACTTGTTAAAGAGTCCTTCTGTGGCCTCGCAGGTGCTGCCATCCCCTCCACACACACGGCATCTGTCTTCTTTGGCGTCTGAGCCCAGTATGTTGTCACAGCCAACATGCTTTTGAAGTTGAACAAAGTTAGAGATTGAGAATCAGCATCATTTTAAATGAAAACTAGAAAAGGGGTTAAATGTTTGCTTTATTTTGTATTATTTTACATTTTAAAAAAAATAAGTTTTTTCAAAGATCAACTGGTTACATTCCAGAAAACAGGCTTTAAGTCTTAAAAAAATAGTTGAACCTTTTGTGAAATATAGCTATGTGCTAAACTATATCATGAAGGGAAATAATAGATTAGTGTGTCAGGTAATAATTAAATCATAGTTAGGTGCATCTACACTACACTACTCCGGAGTCTGTTTATCCAGCTCTGTTCAAAAGTAACAAAATACACTGAACACTGCCCTTAAAGTTAATTTGATAAAGTTATACTGTTGATTTAAGCTCCAAAAAGTGGTGTAAAAATATTGTTTTGCAAGCATTATGTAAAGGTTAAACCAACCAGATTTAATGTGTTATTTACCAAACTACAAAGCACTACTGTGCGACTGTAATAGGAATATTTTCATTGGCTATTACACATCCAGAGTTGTTTCTTTTTGTTTCCAGGCTTCATGCTTGGCTCAGCCAATTAGCCACCAGCTGTACAGTATCATTGTACAGTAACATCATAAGGGTAGCATCAAACGTCACCATTTAACACTTAAGAAAAAGGCAAACAAAGAAATGTCCCCAAATGTCAAACGATTGCTTAAAAGCCAATAAAACCTTCCCTTTAAAAGAAATAGTAAGACATGACTGACATGTTCACTGTGGGGGAGTTTTTTGGAAAGAATTTGTTTGTTCCTGAAGGAAGTCCTCAGAATACAATGCCATACTTTATTTATACAGTATTCACATAGGCCCATGCAAAGAGTAGTCCTTATTTTTAGGGAGCTTCAGTGGACACACAGTGCCTGTATACTGAGTATAAATCTCCATTCTTTACATTGAAAATCTGTCAAAATTTGTCAAAATTTGTCAAAATACTTTTGACAAATCCAATTCCAAAAAATGTAAATAGAAATTTAATGCAATGACTTACAAATCTTATAAACCAATATTTTTTTCACAGTAGAACATAAAAAAATCATCAAACATTTAAACTGAGACATTCTAGTAGTTCATGAAAAATATTAGTTCATTTTAAATTTGATGGCAATAATACATCTCCAAGTTGGGAAGGGAGCAATGAAGGGAAGGAAAAAAAGTGGAACTAAAAGGAAACAGCTGGAGAAGCACTTTGTGACTAATGAGGTTAATTGGTAACTGGTCAGTAACATGAAAACTTATAAAAAGAGCATCTTAGTCTTACTCAAAAGTAAAGATAGGCAGAGATTCCCCAATCTACAAAACCTTATGTTGACAAATTGTGGAATAATTTAAGAATAATGCTCTTCAACATAAAATTGCTAAGACTAGCTAAATCATCAAAAGTCGCAGAGAATCTGCAGAAATATCTGTGTGCAAGGGACAAGTCAGTACTGGACTGCTGTGATCTTTGGCCTTCAGGCAGCACTACATTAAAAACGTGATTCTGATATGGAAATTAAATCCAGAAATCATTGTCTGTTAACATAGTTTGCAGTGCCGTCTACAAACGCAGGTTAAAGCTCTATCATCCATATGTGAACATGAGCCAGAAGGGCTATTGTCGTCTCTGGGCCAAAGATAATTTTAAAATGGACTGTTCATATACATTTTACTCAGTGTCCCAATCCTAGTCAAGTTAGCATTAATAGCTGTAAAAAAAATTATATCAGAGAGAAGCTTATTAAACTACCAGATTCAGAGTCTGAAACTAGCCAGTCTAACAGATATAAAATGTGTTGGCTCCAAATAACTTTTTATATGGAGTCCTTATGGACCCCATTAATTTTTTTTTATCTGTGCTCAATTTGCAGTGATTGCTTCATTGCTTGATTGGAAATGCCTTGGAGCTTCACAGAAGGACTGCTGGTGTTCAGTAGGTTTTGACTTAAGGTTTTCATTATGTAATTTTTTTTACTATTATTTAAAGGCCTTTAAGGGCTACAGTGCCAGTAGTACTGTCTGTTGATGGTTAGTTCTAAAGCATTTTAGTATTATGCAAAGAACTGCAGGCTTACTGCTAATACTTTACATGAGAACATCAATTTTATATTTTACACTTACATTTACTTCTATAAAAATATGAATGCAGCACTTAAACTTAGAGAACTGAGAGCACTGACAGCTTTATGAAAATTACTTTCATTGTTGTTACACACAAGGATAAAGCCATAAAGTGCAAACTGTCCAGATCAGAAAGAATCCACTGGTGCTGGCAGAACATTTGCAAAGACAAAAAGACAAAGCTATTAGCGAAGAACTCCAGATTAAGAACATATTACAACTGAGTCTGTGCTAACCTTGAAACTATGAAGGGTGTTAGCTTAGTGATTTTGTGTAAGTGTGGTAGCCTAAAGTTTACATTAGTAACTGTAATTATGTGTCAGTGCATCAGTTCACTCATATTGTGGATTAAAAAAAGAATGTCTACAGTAGATGAGCATTATCTGAAAGTCATGCCCTTAAGAAACCGGAAAAAAAATCTAACAAAGACATCACATCTTTGTTGATTTTCTTCCAACAGCACCTGAGAGATACATCCGGCCGCTCAGCTGATCCATCTACTGTTTGCCAAAGCGTCACTGGAAATAGTGGTTCTCAAGAAGCTATTGTTGAGGAAGGGAAACATTGTGAAAATGCTAAGGTATGCTAAATTACACAAGAACTGGTCTGAAAATCTGTGAAAGTGGACCTTATGGAGTATTGAATCCAAATTTACATTTCTTCGGTTCAAATCGATATTTACAGAGGAAGCCAGGAGAGACGTAAAAATGTCTACAGCAAAGTTCAGGCTGTGTTGAAGAATAAAGGTGGTGTTCCCAAATAGTCCTTGAACTGTACAAACTCTGTTTGTGCCTTACATACTGTATTTCCATTTATTTGCACATTTCAGCAAATCGCTGCAACTATCATGCAAAGGTGAATATTGTATATGTGTAGAAATGCTCTTAACTTGCACACATGCACAAGCAAGATTACTACTTGTTTGTGTGATGTTAGGGAATTAGAATCATTCTAAATTCGCCAGGCTTGCAGACATAGCACTTTCTGAGCACTGAAAGCACTTTTTACTAACACGTGTCATTAATCTATTCACACACAACTTTAATCAATGCCTATAAGTGCTTTCTTACTATCACACAAACACTCACACTCTAATGGATTCATCAGGGGCAATTTGGGGTTAATCATTCTGCCCAAGGACACCTCGACATCCAGACTGAAGGAATCCTGCCCTTCCTCCTGAGGCAGAGCTGCCCATCATCTGCCATCTATAGTATGTCACGCCTTGATTACTCTATATAAGAAAATACATTGATCTTGAGGTAAGCTGTTCTAAAAGCGAAGCCTACTCCAAAAAAGAAAAAAAGAAGGAGAGTTTATGACTGAAACTAAAGAAACTAAAATAATTAAGCTTCCGAGGAGGAAGCCAGAGAAGGCGTAGCTTTCCAAAGTGTTTCCTCAGGAGAGTCGACAGGAGAACAGGAGCTCAGGCTACAATAACTAAGACAGTCAATGTTGTGTCCCATGAGACACAGACAACTAAAGAGGGAAAAATTTGGACATTCAAGTTGATTTGGAAAAAAGGAAGGAGGAAAAGAGGGAAGCGGGTGGAGGAACACCTGATCTGCCAGCTTGAGATGAGAAACTCACTGCAATTATTGAAATGACATCCACAGATGAGTTATTGGACATTTATGTTGATTAAAAAGAGGGTAAAATATCAGCTGACCAGGGTTTGAGAGCAGCAGTGACACAAAACCTGATGACTACAGATGGATTTCGTTGTCATTGATCCTTACAGTTGTCCTGTGGGTTTCCTAGGTTCTTTTTTTACTCTGTCACAATCTCCAGTGTTATTCGTAATCGTTCCTCCTCTCTTTCTCTCTCTCCCCCACCACATGTGCACAGCATAGCAGTTTTGAGTGTTTCTGAGATCTTTCCAGGCAGACAGTGTTCCAGAGATTTATCACAGTGTGACAGTAAACCCACAGAGAGCCAGCCCCTGAAATAAAACGACAAGCCGGATTCAGGAAACCCACAATGCTCCTTCAGCGAGGAATATTCCACCTCTTCTGAGTTTTCTTGCTATTAAAGCACACATCATGTTGTGTTTTTATATTAGACTCACAGTAATGTTGTGGGCAAAGACGCTGCGCTTTTATGCCAAACAGGGATCCAGTTGTATCGGTCAGGTGGAAGTCAAAGCAAATACTTTAAAGTGAGCAACCAAAAAGTTATTTCAGCTGCATCTCAGAAAATACACACTCACTACACAAAATGATTTACAGTCATGAAAACAAAGACAGCATCAACTGCCAACCCAAATAACATTTTATTGAAAGATAAAATGTTATTTTTCTTTGTTATTAAATCAGCCTTTTCAAATATATATATATATATATATATATACACACATA